TAGTATATAATATATTTTCATCATGACAATGTGGTTGAGTCCAGCATCCCCCCCCCTCACCCCCAATTGCGTCCTTGCAGGGTGAGTTTGTGGCCGGGAAGTACCGGTGCCTCCTGTGCTCCAAGGAGTTTGTGTCCGAGAGCGGAGTCAAGTACCACATCAACACCGTCCACTCAGAGGTGAGTCCCGCCCTTCTCTATGATGGAGGGGGGTGGATATTGGAGTCTTCCCTCTGCATTGAGTGCCGCCCCCTCCCTCCCCGCAGGACTGGTTCGATATGGACGCCACGGTCTCGAGGGGCTTGGCCAAGCGCCGGCGGTCGGAGGAGCCCTCGAGGTCCAAGCAGCGGCAGCACCGGAGGAAGCCCCCCTCCCGCAGCCGGAAGAGGCGCCCCCCCGCGCCCAGGGCGCTCTCCCCGAAGAGGCCCCCCCGCCCAGGACCGGACCCCTGCCAGGCCTCGAGCGCCAAGGCCGGGCGCATGCGGGGCCCCCCGGGCTCAGGCGGAGAGGGATGGAGCGCTGGGCACGAGGCCGCCACGGTGGTGACCTTGCCCCTCAAGCTCAGCCACAAGCGCTCCAGGAAGTAGCCCGGACGGACCATGGAGGGGTGGGGGGGACCAGGAGACTGTGTTTGGAGCTGCTGCTCGACCCGCTGGCTGAGGCCTCGTCCTAGGTCTCCTTCCGTTGATGCCCCTGAAGCAGCCGGAACAGCAGGACTCTGACCTGGCCCCCTCTCTCTCTCTCCTGCGGGCAGCTTCTCTATGGCGCCCTCCCCACCGGGACACTGGGGGGGGGAAGCGGGAAAAGGGAGGACTGAAGAGCCCCTCGCTCGCCTTCCTTCCCTGCCAAGACGGGGCCTCCTCTGCTGCAGCCTCTCGGCTTCGTCATTTCTGGAAGAGACTGCAAGGGTTCCTGTTGCGGCCTTTCCAGGGAGGGGGCAGGGGTATTTCGGGGGGGTGGGGGGTCAGCAGAAGGAAGGGGAAGCATGCGGCGCTGCTCTGTTCGCCTGAACTGGTGCAACAAAAGGCTGCCCCCCTACAGCCCCCTCCCTCCAAATAAAAGGGTGGTAATTGCTTGGCTGGAGTCTTTTTCTCGAGGGGGGGGAGGGAAGACAATAGGCTCATAGAATCATAGAATCATAGAATGAGACCTCATCCAGTCCAACCCCATTCTGCCAAGAAGCAGGAATATTGCATTCAAATCACCCCTGACAGATGGCCATCCAGCCTCTGTTTAAAAGCTTCCAAAGAAGGAGCCTCCACCACACTCCGGGGCAGAGAGTTCCACTGCTGAACAGCTCTCACAGTCAGGAAGTTCTTCCTCATGTTCAGGTGGAATCTCCTCTCTTGTAGTTTGAAGCCATGTTCCATTGCGTCCTAGTCTCCAGGGAAGCAGAAAGGAAGCTTGCTCCCTCCTCCTCCCTGTGGCTTCCTCTCACATATTTATACATGGCTATCATATCCCCTCTCAGCCTTCTCTTCTTCAGGCTAAACATGCCCAGCTCCTTAAGCCGCTCCTCATAGGGCTTGTTCTCCAGACCTTTTATCATTTTAGTCGCTCTCCTCTGGACATTCCAGCTTGTCAATATCTCTCTTGAATTGTGGTGCCCAGAATTGGACACAATATTCCAGGTGTGGTCTAACCAAAGCAGAATAGAGCATGGGGAGCATGACTTCCCTAGATCTAGACACTAGGCTCCTCTTGATGCAGGCCAAAATCCCACTGGCTTTTTTTGCCGCCACATCACATTCCTGTCTCATGTTTAACTCCCAAGATCTTTTTCACACGTCCTGCTCTCAAGCCAGGCATTGTCCCCCATTCATAGGGTCAAAGAGATGGAAGGTACTGCCCAAGGCCATGCACTCCAACCCCTTTCTGCCAGGCATGGAGACACAATCGAAGCACTCCCAACAGATGGCCTTCCAGCCTCTGTTTAAAAACCTCCAGGAAAAGAGACCACCAGATTCTGAGCTCCTTACTTACTTAGGCGATCCCTCATAGCTTGAAGATGGTGGTCTTCCTGATGTGGTGTCTTGGTGGTGGGTCTGTAGGCGGCTGTGGAACCCTATTCTCAATCCTCATGTTCTTCCACAGTGAGGGCATAAGTTTCCAGGTGGAAGGTGGTCCCCGTCAGGGTTGGCTTGACGTACCTCCTTCCTCTTGGCACGTTCCTCCCTTTTGCCCTCCATTTGTGTCTCTTTGAAGTCTGCAGCACTGCTGGTCACAGCTGATCTCCAGCTAGAGCGCTCAAGGGCCAGGACTTACCAGACATGGACAACTGAGTGGACGCTGCTGGCTGGAATCACCAGAGAAGGTCCAAGCGGACCAACTTGTGTTCCGGTAACAAGGGCTGAGTTCTGTCAAACAGACACAGGGAAAACTTGAATGGAAACTTGAATGGGTCTTCCAAAGGCTTGGCTACAAAACGGAAATGCAGGACGCAGCTGGAGTAGCGTAAATCAAGGTCAAAAGTCCAATTAATGCAGAGAATACCAGCAAGGTAATTAATTTCATTTAATTTAATTAATGCAACGAGTGCTACCAAGCCAGTCCAGGAACAGGAACAAGCAGGAGCCAAGTTTGCAGTCCACATGTCAGGTGCCAAGAGTCCACTTAGAAGAACGTTCCAGAGCTCAAGAGAGCAAACCATAGTCAAGAGTTCCAAAGTCAAGCCAGAAGTCACCCAAGTCAAAAAAGAAGCACCATCAAAGCCTTGGCAGACCGTGCAAAAAGAATCTGCGAAGCCCACCTCCTCCAAGATGAACTGAACCACCTCAACTGGGCTCTCCAGGCCAATGGAGACTCCACCTCAGACATCAGAAGAGCTGCAAGACCACCGAGAAGAAGCCACGAGAGTCAAGACGAAGATCCACCCAGAGGAAAAGTGTTCCTGCCATACATCAAGGGAACCACTGACCGCAGAGGGAAGCTGATGAGGAAACACAACATACAAACAATCTACAAACCCACCAAGAAAATCCAACAAATGCTACGTTCAGCAAAGGACAAGAGGGATCCTCTCACCTCTGCAGGAGTCTACCGTATACCATGCAGCTGTGGACAAGTCTACATAGGGACCACCAAACGCAGCGTTGCCCAAACACGAATCAAGGAACATGAAAGGCACTGCAGACTACTTCAACCAGAGAAATCAGCCATAGCAGAGCACCTGATGAACCAACCTGGACACAGCATTTTATTTGAGAACACAGAAATGCTGAACCACTCTCACAACCACCATGTCAGACTACACAGAGAAGCCATTGAAATCCACAAGCATGTGGACAATTTCAACAGAAAGGAAGAAACCATGAAAATGAACAAAATCTGGCTACCAGTATTAAAAAATTCTAAAATTAAAACAGCAGAGAGAAAAACAGGCAGGGACATCTAATCACCTTTCAAGAAGAGTTTGCTCCAGGCACTGTCAGCCCATTGTATGCTAATCAAGGTGGTCAGTTGAAAAGATTCACACCTAGCCCAACTTACAAAAGCCTTTTGTCTCACCCTGGTCATTCCACAGATATATAAACCCCCTTTTTTTCCCAGCTCCAGCAGACCTCACCTCGGATGCTTGCAGGCGAAACGTCAGGAGAAATGCCTCTAGAACATGGCCATATAGCCCGAAAAAACCCACAAGAACTGATTCCAGCCATGAAAGGGTCAGGTGGAAGTCCAAGTCCATAAATCAGAGCCAGGAAGGCAGTCCAAGATTCGGGTTTCAGGAAACAGCGTGGTCCAAGGCAGGGTCACAGGAGCAGCAGAGCCAAGGTCCAAGGCAAGAGGGCCAAAATACGACGTTATCCGCTATCAAAGAACTCCTCCTCCAGGCTCCTTTGTCACAGCTGCTCATTTCAGCAAACCTGAAGAGGCCATGAAGCTGCAAAGTCAATCGGTGAGGGTGTCTGCAGAGATGCAGCCTGGCCTTTGTTGCCTGGAGGCACCCTCTGTATGGGAAGTATCAACTGCCTGAAGTTCTCCTGTTTCTGAGTGGCATTCATTGTTTCATGTTTTGATTCTGGTGTCTTGATTCACACTTGCTTTAAACAGACAAGGGTTCTTCCTCCTCCCACCCTGGACATTCGTCCACAGATAGATAGATATACACATATACACACACACACCCCATTTATCCTCTGAGGATGTCTGCCATAGATGCAGGCGAAATGTCAGGAGAGAATGCTACTGAAACATGGCCATACAGCCTGGAAAACTCAACAGCAAGCCAGTGATTCCAACCATAAAAGCCTTTGACAACACACATAGATAGATAGACACACACACACACACACCTTTTAACTCTCCACCAAGAGAGCCTCAGAGGATGCCTGCCATAGATGCAGGTGAAATGTCAGGAGAGAATGCTACTGAAACATAACCATACAGCCAGGAATGCTCAACCACAAGCCAGTGATTCCAACCATAATAGCATTTGACAACACACATAGAAGATAGATAGATAGATAGATAGATAGATAGATAGATAGATAGATAGATAGATAGATAGATAGATAGATAGACAGACAGACAGACAGACAGACAGACAGACAGACAGATAGACAGATAGACACACACACACACACACCTTTTATCTCGCCACCAAGAGAACCTCAGAGGATGCCTGCCATAGATGCAGGTGAAATGTCAGGAGAGAATGCTACTGAAACATAACCATACAGTCTGGAATGCTCAACCACAAGCCAGTGATTCCAACCATAAAAGCCTTTGACAACACACATAGATGATAGATAGATAGACAGACAGACAGACACACACACACACACACACACACACACACACCTTTTATCTCGCCACCAAGAGAACCTCAGAGGATGCCTGCCATAGATGCAGGTGAAATGTCAGGAGAGAATGCTACTGAAACATAACCATACAGTCTGGAATGCTCAACCACAAGCCAGTGATTCCAACCATGAAAGCCTTTGTCAACACACATTCAAAGCCTGCCTGACATATGGCCATCCAGTCTCTGCCTAAAAGCTTCCAAGGAAGGAGTTTCCACTGGTGACCGAGGCAGAGAGTTCCACTGCTGAACAGCTTTTCTTACAGTCAGGAAGTTCTTCCTGATGTTGAGTTGGAATCTCTTTCCCTGTTGCTTGAACCATTGCTTCCATGGAGTGCAGAGGAAGCCAAGGTGCAGGAAGGGAGGCAAACGAAGGAGTGGCCAGGCCAAGGTCTGCTGGTGGCGTCCCACCTCGGTGCATCATCATCATCATCATCATCATCGTTCCTTCATTGCGTCCTGCAGCAGCTCTTCCGCAGGGCGATAATTCTGCTTGACAGGGCCTGCTCTTGGATGCCGTGTACATGGGAGGTCTGGTGGCAACACGCTTTGTCCTTGGCTGGGATCCTTCTCTCTTGGACGACGGAGCACAGCCGGGCGTCCTCCCTCCTGCAGAAGGAACCAGCGCTGGCCGAGCGCTTCCAACGTCTCCTGGCAGTTCCTCTCAGCCAAGAAAGCTCTCTCTGTGCCTCGAAGCCTTGAGCCTCACGTTCAGCTTGTGGTCCACTAAGGTCCCTTCCCATGGACGGTTTGCAAGACATTGTCGAAGGCTTTCATGGCCGGAATCACTGGGTTGTTGTAGGTTTTTCCGGGTTATATGGCCACGTTCTAGAGGCATTTTCTCCTGACGTTTCGCCTGCATCTATGGCAAGCATCCTCAGAGGGAGTGAGGTCTGTTGGAACTAGGAAAAGGGGTTTATATATCTGTGGAATGACCAGGGTGGGACAAAGGACTCTTGCCTGTTGGAAATAGGTGTGAATGTTTCCACTGACCACCTTGATTAGCATATAATGGCCTGACAGTGCCTGGAGCAATCTTTTGTTGAGAGGTGATTACTCATTAGCTGTCCCTGATTTTTTTCCTCTCTGTTGTTTTGCAGTTGTAATTTTTGAGTTTTTTAATACTGGTAGCCAGTTTTTGTTCATTTTCATGGTTTCCTCCTTTCTGTTGAAATTGTCCACATGCTTATGGATTTCAGTAGCAGAGCATCTGATGAACAAACCTGGACACAGAATATTATTGGAGAACACATAAATGTTGAACCACTCTCAC